ATATTACGTATTAAAGAAAACTAAGTATATTACGCTCTATACCTAACTACTAATTAAAATAGTAATTAACTAACTCGACCGTTATCTTCTTTTTATTAATAGCTCCTAACCTTTTCTTACTTCTAACTATCTAAAAAGCGAGCTATACCTACTCTAATATATATAAGACCTCTTAGTACTAGCTTATATAAGTAGCTAAATCCCGTATTATATACTCCTTCTTATTAAAAGTTAAGGGGCCCTTTATATATTCCCTTACGTTTATAATATAACCCGTATTAAAAAGATTTCTAACTTTATAAAGTATAATTTCTAAATTAATATTAATATATCGGATTTTAATATCCGTATTAGCCTAGCTATTTATAATATTTATATTATTACTTAGCTAGATTTTATATTATTAAAAAGTACTACGCTACTTTTTAAATATACTTATATTAACTACGATAACTAAAGCGTCGAGGGGGCCTAAGAATTTATTAAGCCCTAGAGGGGGGGACTTATTAAAGGGTATTTTTAATAAAGTAAGTTCTTAATAAGTAATAGTTTATATATTAATAAGTTCGTTTAATAAGTTCGTTTAATAAGTTATTTAATAAATTTATTTAGTTTAAATAAAGAATAGCTTTAAGTAATATTAAAAGTAATAAGAATAAAAAGAATTTTTACGAGCTTTAGTACGAAAAATAGCTAAATATTAGCCCTTTTAGCCCTTTTTCTAAAAACCTCTACATTACTATTAAAGTTTAAAACCTTTATAATTAAGGGCTACTTCCGACCTTTATAACTAACTTTTATTATTAACCTTTCTAGCCGGCGCTATTATAGGGCAGCTTACTTATTCTAAATTATATAGCAGTTTTCGTATCAAAATTATTATATTACGTTAAGTACGTACTTAGAGTATATTATATATATTATATAGTTAAAAAGTATATTATATTATATAATTTCTTTTAAAAGCGTAATCCCGTTAAGGTCGATCTTTTATACTTATAAAGCCGGAAAAAAAACCACTATATAAAAGTTATTTAAGGGTATTATAATATATATATAAACGTACTTTTTTTTAAAATAACCCCGTAATAGTACTTAATATTTTAGCTTAATAACGGGTTTAATAAGCGCTAATTATAACCGCTTAACCTACTTAAAAAATAACTAATTTATTAAATACGGCTTTAAAATCGTCTATATAATAATAAACTCGTATTTTAATATTCATATATAAAGATTTAATAATTAACGTAATTAGGTAACTAAAGTACTTAATTTAGTTAACCTAAATAAGTACGAGTTTTTTATACTGCGGCTTAAGTTAAGTATTAATAATATAATTAATTATTATTATAGGGTACTTAGTAATTTAAAATTTAAATAATTAATCGTAGTATATAGTTATTAATTAGTTATAGAGGAGATTATCCTAATTTATAAAGAATTACTAAAAATAAAGGTTATATATAACTATACTAATCTCGTCCCTCGTAATTAAGCTAAAGTAATACCGGGTCTGGGCTAATATATTAAAGTTAATATATTAATAATAAAATACGTATAGTACTATTTTAAATTAAGTATTATTATTAAGGGTATTAAATAGAATAATCTTATAATCCGTATACGTAACTTATAAAAAGGGAATTTTATAAGCTTAGAGTAATACTAATAGCTAGTTAATAACCTAATAATAATTAGCTTCTTTTTTACTAAATAAAAAGTAGCTTATAACTTAAAAAATATAACTATCGTTAGTTACTTTATAAATATTAAATAATAGTATATTAAATCGGTTAGTTTTATATATAGAATTTATTAATAAAATATCTAAGTATTATTAAAATAGGAAAATCGTAGTAATAAATATAATAAATAAATTTGTAATATAACCTGCGTTATTACGTTAAAAACGGTATTAGTACTTTATTAAATTACGTAATTAATTAAATAATTACTTAATAAGGGTCTTATTACTTAATTTATTATAATAATAAATAGTTAATATATTAAGTATATTACGGGCGACGATACTACTATAATCGCTACTTTCTAACTATAAGCTTAAAAGGATTTAAATAGGTCGAATACCCTTATTTTATTAATTAACAATTTAGTCCTTTTTATTACGTAGTAGTATATAATAATAATATATAAAAGTATTAGTATTACTAAATAGGTAGTTATAATAGTTATAAAAATCGCTAATAACGGGATAAAAGAGCTAATTATTACTTAAAAAGCTAATAACGATTTATTAATAATAGTTTATAAATAAAATTAAGGATTTACGACGCTTATTTAGGTAAGTTAACTTTATAAAGTATTATTATTTTTAATTATAATATAGGCTATAACTATAATAATAAATGATAATAATTAGTACTTTAATAAAGGGCTTATATTAAATAATTCGGACTATAAAACTAGTTTTATAAATAGCCTTATTAAGTACTATTTTAATATTAAATAGGGTAAAAAATCGCTAATTATAAAATAAGTAGTCGTACTCTACGTAGCCGTAATTATCGTAATTAGCTATATATTAATAAATAAAAAGATTATTAACTTCGTAATTATTCTCTTTTTATAATATATTAACGTTAAGAATAGTTTTAATTAGTAATAGCGGTAGCGGTAGTAACGGCGAGGTTAACGAAGTAGTAGTTATAAGTAGGTAGGTAGGTAGGTAGGTAGGTAGGTGGGTAGGTAAGTAGGTGGGTATGGGCAGCTGGCCTCCGGGCTCGGAGGTAGGGCCTGCCGCAGCCACACTTAGGGGCGGGATAGCAGGAGCTGCTGGCAGAATATCCTCGCCCTATGTGTATCATATTGTACAATCTTCCTTAAAGGCACAATCCCGTGCGTGTTAATCATTTTAGCCAAATGAAGCCGGAGAGAGTCACTTACCCCATGGTTCATATCACAACCATTCTTCATTGAAAAGTCTCCATTGAAACATGATATTTCTATCGGAGGTTGTCTTACATGCCGAATTGCATTGTAAAATCCAGGACATCAAAGACGGGAAATGTCGGCTCTCCATTCCTGTTTCCTTATGTATTGTTCCGATACGGATTGGAAATTACAACTTGAGGCTTGGCAAGGTAGTTGACGTATGCGTAGAATGATTTGACGAGCCGCAATTTAAGTGACGCGGCGGGCCCCGCTCTATTGATTGTTAGGTTTTCCAACAAGGCAAGTAGGCTCGGATGCCCACTCGTCAAAGCTTGACAAGCTTATTCACTAGCTCGTCGACGGCTTTTAATCTTGATGTTGTTTCTCGGGATATGACCAATTCTAGAGGTTCTTTATTCCCACTCTTGTCTCTACCATCGCAAACATCTCAGTCAACCATCACAGCGATATGAATGCGTATGAAACTTGAACATCCTTCGCCTTCAGAACTTGAAAGCTGTATGTGAGAAGCTGGCTGCCACACGGAGCCACGTCGCATGGATTTGTTAGTAATATGGCACGTCTTGCGCTACATCTGAGCAGTGAAATGCCGTATTCTTACAAACTTGACCATCACGTGTTCCTCCATCGTTACCCTTACACATCTGCGCCATCTGAGGCAACCATCGTCGGCTCGGCATGCCCGAACCTAGCGGCTTTCATGGGCATACGTAGCCTCGGGAGGCTCTTGTAAGTCGCGATGATCATAATTGACGGTGATATTGTCGCTGGACATCATATGTTGCTCTCATACCTCTTGCACTCGGACCCTTCCACTGGTGAGGCGGTGTGTGCAGCCCAGCCACCTATGATTTTCCAAGTAAGATGACGAAAAAGATCCAGAATGTTTGAAGAACCGAGTCTCGTTCAATGCGCTCACGTTACAAGTTTTTTCAGCCTCACCAGCTCTTGGAGAGATCTGAAGAAAAAAGGAGCTTCTAGAAATCCCAAAAGTTTCCGCATTTAGCCATCGACGCCGGGGTCGTCTCCCACATCACGTTGTAGATCGGGCCGCGCAATCAATCGGTGCGGCTTCCCCCCCCTGCCCCCCCGGGTAGGCATGTCACAGCATCAGTCGAAACACGAAAATGCGGGGACCGCAAAGGCCCAAAGAGGATTGCGAATCTACATGGCAACGTCAGAGCTCAGAAACCCCCAGCTTTCCGTGATGCGACTCCTTGTTTGAACCCCTTTCAAGACTTTTCCCACTATTGTCACTCTTTTTCTCCGAACCGGATGGGGTCCCGAAAACAAGCTCCCGCTCCCTCTCCCCACAAGGCTTCCCGGCAGGACCGCAACGGCAAGAGGGAGCCAAGCCTCAATAGAGAATTGAGGCTCAGAGCCACATTCCCGGGGGCCTCTGGGGCTCTGCCGAATCGTTTATTCGCGTTAGACGTCGGACTAGTCTCCTTTCTGATGACTTTTTTACCTAATTCAAGCTTCGTAATCGTTCGATTGGAGGCTGGGTTCATCCTCCCATCGCAGGCCTTCACACGCCTTTGCAGGCAACGTCAGTGCTCGTTTGAGGTTCGGCGGACGACGACATGCCATCTAAACTCCCGATGTTGCAAGATGCTGGGTTGGTGATGTCGCGATGTCCACAGCCCGTCAAGTGTTCGACATGCCGGGCTATGCTTCGACGCTGCGTTCTAGACATCGGCAAACACGGCCCTGGGGGGAAACGTCAGCTGAATGGCAACATGAGACGAGCTGGATGATGGGATCAGTGGAGCTGAAAGTCTTCATGTTGCTTGCCAATGGTGACAAGTCTTGAGGATTCATTTGGCTATAAAGACTCACTCGATCTCGAGGAAATCAGGTTCTTTTTTCTCATCATTCTCATCAACAGTTTCTTAACTCTACCTCAACATCCTTTCTAACTCTTCAACTTTCTCCCGTGCTGTGCACATCTAACTTTAGTCATATTCACTATTTCCTCTTGATTCTTCACTTCTTCGATTCTTTCGACGATACCCAACTCTCTCTCTCACCTCTATACTGTCATTACTTGACTTTCTTGACCAAGTCTCCAATACCTAGTCAAAATGCGTTACACCACTCTCACCGTTCTCGCTATTGCCCTTCTCACGGGTAATGCCTTGACTGGTAAGTACTCTCACGGACATCGTATAGAGTCAGTGACTAACTCTCTTTTTTCTAGCTCCCGCTCCTCAGGGCGGTGCTGGTGCCATTGGAGGTGGTAACGGGGGAGGTGCCGGCAATGGAGCCGGAGCCGGAGGCAACACCGGCAACACTGGCAATGCTGGCAACAACAACAATAACAACAACGCCGGCAACAACAACCAGCAGCCCCCTCCTCCCCGTCCTACCAATACCAACAACAACCCTAATAATGCCAACCCCAACAACGCAAACAACGGAAATGGTGCGAACGCTGGGAACAACGCCAACAACGCCGGAGCTGCTGGCAACAACGCCGGCAACAACGCCGGCAACGCCAATAATGCCAACAACGGCAATGCGAACAATGTGAACAACGGAGCTGCGGGTGCCAACGGCAATGCGGCTGGAAACAACGCAAACACCGCCAACAACGGCAACAACGCCGGCAACGGTAACTTCGCCAGAGCCGTGGCCCCCAACCAGCAGCCTCCCCCTCCTCCGGCGAACAACAACCAGCCTCCTCCTCCCAAGCCCAACAACCGCAGAGCCGTGAACCCTCAGGCTGCTCCTCCCCCTCCTCCCAAGGACAACACGCCTCCCCCTCCTAAGCCCAACGGTGCCAGAGCTATCAACCCGAACCAGCAGCCCCCTCCCCCTCCCGCCAACGACAACACTCCCCCTCCTCCTAAGCCCAACAACCGCCGGGCGGTGAACCCCAACCAACAGGCCCAGGCTCCTCCTCCTCCTCCCGCCAACGACAACACTCCTCCTCCCCCCAAGCCCAACGGAGCGAGAGCAATCAACCCCAACCAACAGCCTCCCCCTCCCCCGGCCAACAACGAGCAGCCTCCTCCCAAGCCCAACAACCGCAGAGCGGTCAACCCTCAGGCCGCTCCTCCTCCTCCGCCCAAGGACAACAACACCCCTCCTCCTCCTAAGCCGAATAACGCCAGAGCCGTCAACCCCAATGCGCAGGCGCCCCCTCCTCCTCCCGCGGAGAACCAGCAGGCTCCTCCTCCCAAGCCTAACAACGCCGCTAGGGCCGTGAACCCGAACCAGCAGGCTCAGGCTCCTCCTCCTCCCCCGGCTAATGACAACACCCCTCCTCCTCCCAAGCCCAACGGCGCTCGGGCTGTCGACCCCAACCAGAGACCCCCTCCTCCTCCTCCTGCCACTAACCAGCAGGCTCCTCCTCCTGCTATCTAAGCGTAGCCTGTGACGAGGTCGCCAATGATAGTGACTGGTACTCTGTCAGGACTTGGGAGGATTAGTCGGGAATCATGTGGGACTGTAACTTATCAGAGCTTTGGAGACAGAAAGATGATCTGGTGGCAAAACGGTGCGAATGGAGAGGCGGCTAGGATTAATGAATGATGTATAGCTCAGACTTGTCTTGCTCTGATTCAGACTTGGGATCTGAATTCAGGGCACATGTAGCTCTAAAGGAACATAACAGACTACTATTGTCTTGGAAAAGATTTCTCCTCCCTTGTGACTAATAGAATGCCAGTTTGATGGGTTTGCTATAAGAGGCTATTTCTGTAGCTGTCTTCAAATCAAGTGAGCTTACATGAAGTGTTTCTAGATTCAAAGTGTTATTAGGATAATTCGAGACTTGTCGATAGAAGATATAGATGAGCATTGTCTCAGATGATAACTCACAGTCACTCAAAGCTCCCGACTCAATCCCCCCTCAACATCACAAGCAATCCATTGAAAGCCTTCTTCCTCTCCTCCTCCCCACAAGCGTAATGCTTTGCCTGCCCAATAATGATATCATCCACCTCACCCTTCTCCAACTCTTCCCATGTCTCGTCAATGAACTGCTCCAGCGGCATACCCACACCAGCACGTCCCGCTGCGACCAGGTCCGCCTGCCGCGTATGCAGCTCGGTCTTGACAGCAGGCGGAACGATCCCAATGACGCGGATGCTCTCGGTGTGAGGCCCGCGATCGGCGAGCTGAGCGCGCAAACTCCAGGTTAGCGATCGAAGTGCGGCTTTGCTGGCGCAGTAGTTTGCGCAGCGGGACATGGGCACGATGGCCAGGCCCGAGGTCACGAGTATGACGGCGGTCGGCGTGGAGAGGAACTCGAAATGGGGGAGGATGTGCGACGTTGCGACGAGCGGGGAGAAATAGTTCAGGTTTAGCTCGTTTTTGGCTGTTTCTAGGAGGGCGGGCGTGAAGTCAAAGGTGTTTTGGACGCCTGCGTTGAGGAAGAGGCAGTCTAGCTTGGGATACTTGGTAGTCATTCTGGGTAGTTGTCAATAATCAGTCGACGTACGACGTTTAGGTGGTGTATTTGAGGACGACTTTCTGAATGAGGCGGGGGAGGAATAGGCCAGGAGTTAGAGCGGATCAAAGTATGCAAACGTACTAACTCTTCGATCCATGATTCCATGCCGTCGATATTAGAGACATCGTAGACTTCGGTGGCAACTTTTGAGCTTCCATGCTTGGAGAGAATTTGCTCCAGGCGATCTGCGCGGCGACCTGCTGCAATAACAAAGACGCCGTTCGCGACCAGACGCTCTGCTAAAGCATAGCCGGTCCCGGACGTGGCGCCAGTGATGAGAGCCGTCTTGTATGGAGAAGGCATCTTTTGGCCTCTGGACTCCTTGAAACTTGCTTTGATTGCGGTGTAAGAACTTATGGAAGACGAAGTGATAAGCCCCAAAAAACGTGTGCAATAATCACCAATACCACATTTGGAACGGCAACTGCAAAACTTCTTATACGGCCTGATATTGGCTCGAAGAACGTAGAAAGGCTTCTCCAGGATACAATTTGGCACAAAATGTCGGAATAAAACATCACAAAACGTCGATGAAGTTGTCAGCATCACCCTCACATATTCACATACGCCCGTTTGAATTCGATGCAAATAGGTAATCGCCAAGCATATGCCGAAAAAGCTGAGCAACGTTTAAGTCAAAATATGAACCCTGTAAGTGCTCCCGAACGTCTGGATCAGCGCTTATTTGTATTAACCCAACGGGCTAGCGTTCCGTAGTTGTGAACTCTAAAACTCTAGTCAGACGGAACATCATCTGAACTTTTGAAATCTAAGGGACTAATTGAAACTTGCAGTCCGTATTCAACGAGATTTCGACCCTAAAGGTCGCCACGTCTTCTTTGGTGGTACCCTTATGGAATGAAACTCGCGTGCACCGGTGGCATCTTTGCCCACGGCCGGAACCCATGGCATTCTACGGATTGGGCCGACCATCTCGGACAATTCACAAAATGTATACCATAATACCAGACGCCGAGCCGCCTCGGAGAACCAAAAGGCTCACAATCAGGACGCCGTGGCATACCCCAGGAAGCTAATTGCCATTTTCCAAGAGACTAGCGCAAAGTCAAGCTCTACGAATACGTACTCCTCACCCAAGCCATGATGTCTCCAGTCTTTGTTCACATATCCGGCACAGCGGTACGGTGGAGCAACTAGATGTCACAGAATCTTAGATGAGGCGCAAACCCTTTTAAGATCATCAGTGGTTGCAGAGTTCGGCCATGATCCATCTAAGACTATTTTCATGAACACACAAGACCTCAATTAATTTCCCTCAACCAGAGCCTCACATCGGAAATGGGCGAGAAAAGTTGCGAAAACGCAATTAGCCCCGGACACCCAGCCCGTGGTATCTGACAACATCATCAGAATAAGCTCAACGCCTCGGCCTTGATCATCATAACCTCATCTCGCAGGCGCGTTACAAAAGGAGGCTCAAGCAGCAGAACTCGATTCCCCAGAAAATGCTCCGCGCGCCGACCCCACGCCACAATCAAAAGATTCGCCAGCGTCATATTCTCCTCATCCTTGAGCTCCCACAAGTCCTCGCGACAAGCATACATCTTTTCAATGACAGCCCACGTCCTCTCCGCCAAGGATCCGGACACCCGGTTCTGAAGCTGCGCGCCCAGATAATAAAACGTCTGAATCTTAAAGTCGAGGTCAACGAGCCACGCAAACTGGCGGCCCGCGAGCCGCCGCTGCTCGAGCAGGATCTCCAGCGCCACCAGGCCGACGTTGAAGAACTTGTCTTCCGGGCCGCGTATCTCCGTGCCCCATTCCGAAGCGGCCTCGAGTGGCGTGATGATAATCTGGACAATGGCGGCGAGTGAGGTGCGGGCGTAGAGTGCCATTGCGTGGAGCGGGTTCGCGGCGGAGTCGGAGAGGAGACGACGCTCGAGGGGCCCCAGCGTCCGGTCGAACTTTTGTAAGGCATCTTGTATGGCGGTGACGAAGGGTGAGTCAAAAGGGTGCGGCGAGGGTATGGCAGCGTGCGCCGAAGCCGGAGCCGGGTTTGAGGCGGCCTGGCCCCAGAGCACCTCATCGACGGACGGGATCTGCATAGCCATGGCGAGTGCTTCTGTTTCGTATGTATGTACACAGTAAGACATCTCTGATGGACCTTCTCGGACACTGGGTGCTTCCTTCATAGAAGGATGTAGGTCTTCGTCGTTGATATTGAGCGGGATGAGCGTGTCCCGGCTGGATGGTAGCACCTTGGCACTAATGCATGAGGCGGCACTCGTTTTGGCCTCGATAAGAACGGTTTGCCACCACAGACGTCGTCTCATTTCTATTTGGAAGGGTGAGAAGCCGAGACGCGTCCCGTCGATATGGAGACCGAGACGGTGAGCTATGTTCATGACGATACCGTTGAGGATCCATGGGTCTACCGTATCTCTCAAAGTTCGTTGGTGTAGCTGCGTTACAATCAGCCACGTGCCATTGGTAGAGACAATCCAAAGCATGATGCTCTTCAGATGAGGTACCCACTGAATAAAATATCAGGCTCCTTATCGTATCTTCGTTGAACCGTTTCAGATAGTTATATCGTGCCATGGCAGCCTTAAAGCCCCTAGACAGAACTGTCGAGGCATCCTTCTTGGACCAGCGTAGCATGTCCCAGTGCTCCTTTGGCGAAAGAGAACCAGATGCTGCGAGGAAGATGGAGAATAAAAGCCCCTGTGTGACGGGCGGGATGGCGTGAAAGTTGGACACTGCATCTGTAATGTTGGCTTGGAATGTCGGAACGTGAAGTATCTTGGTGACAGGATAGACTCTGTCCAAGAACACTCTCCACAAGACGATGATGTTAGGTGGAGATGGGACGCAGTTGTAGGAGAGCCCCGAGGCGGGAGATATGCCTATCGAGGCATGGTGCTGATTGAGGAAGGCGAGAGCAGGTAGCCATGTCGACTGCTCGCTTTCCACCTCAAAAAGGGCACGTATGGTCTGTTCCTATCATGTTGACCCTATGTGAGTATAAACCAAGGCTGATATGGTATGTGTATGCACGAGGAAACGATCACAGCGATGAAATCGTCTTCAGGACCAAGTGCTGTCGAGCCATAGGAAGGAAGATGTTTACTTACATCCTCGCGAGTCGCAGACGCCGTTTTGCTGTCACGGAATTCGACCCCGTTTTTGGTCTGTACGAGCCATCCTGGCGACTGGACTTTAGGTCTATGATAATCGTGATTCTGGTCGTCCGTTGGAGATTCTTGACCGGTCAGGGCGGGTGGCGTTCCATTGGCGAGATAGATTGGCTTCGATCCCATACATTCCTCCAAAAGCGATTCGATGCTCGCAAGTTTGTCGCGTAGCTCATGATGGTTCTTCCTTCTAGGCTTGCGTGGACCCGATGGTGGTGGAGCAAGGCAATGGCGGCCATGCTGCGTGGGAGTTTATGTTAATATAAAGAGGGAAGTGGTGGAGGAGGATGGAAGATGACACGAATGAGATACAAGTAGTAGCAGCAAGAGCTGCGAGGGAAAAGGAGAGTTTTACTAAAGACAACACATACTATGATGCATTCTGAGCAGGGGTACTTTCGGTCGCATTTTAGTTTCCGCTGCCGGCACTCTACACATGCAGGGTCGCGCTTCAGGGGCCTGTCACCCAGGGCCCGCGCAGCCACCTCGTGGCTACCTTGTTGTTGGCTGCCGACAGTCGCCATAGTTGGGTCCTCCATACTTTGTCGGCACACAGCGGAGTCTTGGCGTCGAGTTGCAGGATGTCAAGTGCGGACGGGACGGGACGGTGAGGCGGTCTGGGATGGGAGATGAGCGAATCGGACGATTCTACACAAACTTTACAAAAAAAGAGGGGGATCTGGGGACAAGACGTATGTCGTAGTCAAAAGATTCGTAAATAATAAAAGGGGAAATCTAGGGTTTTCGCACGACGT